TCATGTATAAAGGTCCGGTGAACGAAGAGTTGGCAAGCGAAGAATTGGTGAGCAAAGAATTGGTGGGCAAAGAATTGGCAAGCAAAGAATTGGCAAGCGAAGAATTGGTGGGCAAAGAATTGGCAAGCGAAGAATCGGCAAGCGAAGAATTGGTGAGCAAAGAATTGGCAAGCGAAGAATTGGTGAGCAAAGAATTGGCAAATGAAGAATTGATGAGCAAAGAATTGGCAAGCGAAGAATTGGTGAGCAAAGAATTGACAAGCGAAGAATTGATGAGCAAAGAATTGTCAAGCGAAGAATTGGTGAGCAAAGAATTGGCCGAAGGCGGATTAATGAACAAAGAATTGATTTACAAGCCATTAGATACCACACATTTCAAGAATGATGATGAATGGGGTAAGCATTTTATACCAATATATGTGATATCATATTTATAATATTTATCTTGTATTGAAAATATTACAGAAAAACTTACCGAATTTCATGAAAATATTTTTAATGACGATTATGATAGTGGTTATGAGGTTTTTTCACAGTGTAAAAAAGCCAAAGCAAAGTTAGGATGGTGTCAAGATTGCGATTCAAAAAAATTAACTAAGGGATGGTCTAGTGGAAATTTAAAAATAGATAATTTTATTAAAGAAATTCAACTTGAAACAAAGTCAGTGAAAACAATTATTCAGTGGATACCATTTAATAGATTAGAGAATTTTCAACAAATTGGCAAAGGCGGCTATGGTACAGTGTTTTCGGCAACGTGGCTTGATGGACCACTAAGTTTAAGTAAATCTCATCACAACCCCCAGATTGTTGCTGTAAAGAGTCTTCATGATTCTTCCGATGATTTGAAATTTCTGGATGAAGTACGCTTGATTATTATTTATAAATTTATGATATATATGTTTGTTTTCCTTAAATTAATTATTGCCGATTTTTATCTTATATTCTTTAAGCTTATCTATCTTGTTAAGTGTCATGTAAACTTCCATATAACCCATCAATTTCTTCGCACTTATGGACTTACACAACATCCATCCACTAAGGAATATATGATGGTAACAGAATATGCCAATTTAGGAGACCTTCGGAGCTATTTAGGCTCAAATTTTTCAACCCTAATGTGGTTCCAGAAATTGGAAATACTTAAAGGATTATTAAGTTGTTTAAAATCAATTCACAAAGAAGGCTTCATACATCGTGATCTTCATAGTGGAAATATTTTAATTAGTAAGAATAAAGGTAATGAACTTATCGCTTTTATTACAGATTTAGGATTGTCTAAAAAAATTGAAGATTCTTCTACGTATGAGGGTGTATTTGGTATCCTTCCATATTTAGCTCCGGAAGTTATAAGTGGTAAACAATACACTCAATCTTCAGACATTTATAGTATAGGCGTAATTATGGCAGAATTATCTACTGGAAAACCTCCTTGTTTAGACAAACCACATGATATAAGACTTGCATTACAAATTTGTCATGGATTACAACTAGAATTTGCTTTAGGTACACCTGAATTTTATATTCAATTTGTGAATCAATGTATGGCTATTAACCCATCAGAACGTCCGACTGCTAGTCAAGTTTATGAACAAATTGAATTTTGGTATTGGGCATTATTCATAAATGATGGAAATATCTTTTCAAATGATGAAGAAATCGAAGCCATCAATCAAATTCGCAACCCATTTTTGACCGCAGATAAGATCATTCCTACTTTGCAAACAAAATTTGAAAGACATCCAGATGCTATATATAAAAGTAAATTCACAAGCACTAAACAGTTGTCGAGTTTATTAAGCTTAGATACGGGTATTGATCTCTATTATTATTTGCTATTGTGAAACATACATTAAATATTGTAACTAATTTCAAATATATTTTTAATAGAATATTTAACTGATTCGCATTACGAAATTTTTGATGTTTCTGAAAGTAAGCTATGCAAAATTTTAAATTCTCTTTTACCTTATACAATACGATTACTAAGATTTACTTCTATTTACTAGTATAAAAGATATTTAAAATTTATTGATTATTTTACAATAATAAGGGTATATTGATGATTTGTTAGTTGGGTATTATTATTGCTTAATCGAAGAACTTATCAATTTATTATAGAAAACATGTATAGAAATAAATTTTGGGATTGTATAATATTCAAATACTGATCTGTATTTATATTCAAATACTGATCTGTATTTATATTAAAATCATATTTATTTAATTTCATGTTGAAATTTAATCATAGGCATAATTCCTATTTACTTCGTTAATAAGTTGTAATCTAAACTATAAAAAAAATAGATTTAGTTTTATATTAACAGTTATAAATAAGCATCAATATTTCTTTAAACAAAATTTTCAAATGTTAATTAATAAATTTTTTAAGGTATTAGTTTATGGCGACCTTTTATGAATGGCCAATCAAAATTGAGCATGTAATTTTATAATAAGTTGTTTACTATTGTCTAATTAAAATTAGTTAAATTTTTTGATAATAAATAAAAGGAATAATATATTTGTAACTATATGCTACCATAGTCATAATTAAAATAGTCATTTTTTTTGTTTATTAGGGTTGCGGGTAACAGAGAGTGTTTATAACAAAATTTGGAAGGAATTTTTTTTGTTAGAACTCAAAAAGTAGATTCATATACTCAATTTGAATTTTTGTTAAAAATGAACATTCGGTTTGAATTTTTATAACATGTTACATTACATTCAATCTTTAAAATTAATTGGTTTTTAAGGAATATGCATGGTTACAATATATTACTCAAAAATCAAAAATAAATTTTACTAATTCTAAATATTATTAGTTGATATATATAGAGTCATCATAGTGATAGTCTTTATTTATAATATTTATTTTTTTAATATTAAAGTAAGGTTTTGTTTATATTTTTATTAATAAGTTTTAGCTTTTTATTTTTTTTAAGCTAAAGTTTCTGCCTTTGAGGATCAATATTTTTATTCAAGTATTGAAAACAGGTGCCTCCAGAGGCTTTCTTATATTGGAGGTTACAAATAGTCACATATGCACTTTTGGTGTCTAGTTTAAGTCGTCTGCCTATATATTACTATACAGGTTCTATACTAGATGTTATACCTGCAAGCCAGCTATAAGTCTTGTCTATTTAAACCTTCTGCATATGTAGTTCAACATGTTTCATAGTGACATCTTTAATGTTATACTCATTCAAAGTACCTGATGCCTTTGAGACCCTTAGAACTAATTTATCCTTAACAGAAAACTTATTAGAACTTTCTGTGTTTTCACACAGCTGATCTAGTTTTATGTAACTTATTAAAGTTGCTTAATACTTGCAATCACAGGGGTTACCTGTTTAACTATTATGTTACATTATTTTTATTCTTATAAAGTTCACTAAAACTCTAGTACCTATTATTGCAATGTTTTTTTTATTATTTTTTACAAACTGTTACTTAGAACTAATAGAACTCCTTTGACTTTCAATTTAGATAGACTAGTATAGTATATATATGTATTCATATTCTTTAGCATTTTAGTAACCTGGTTGGTCATGTGATCCTCTATATATTTTGTTATTCAGATTATCTACCAATCCCTTTAGAGGTGTTTTATAGTTTTTCATCAGTCTGATTGTACTGCTAAAAGTTTATGCTATCTCTTTATTTAGGAATTTTCAAATGAGCTTCTAACTCTTAATTTTTTAATTTACTATAACTAGTGGTCTTATTGTAGGTTTGCACTGAAACCTTATATAATACCAATTATTAATATTTTTTATATATATGTAATATTACACTCTACATAGATGTTTTAAGTTTTTATTTATGATAATATGATTTAAGATTACAGATATGTCAATCTAACTGATCATCTTTTTTTTTTTTTTTTTTTTTTTTTTTTTTTATTAAATAATGCTCAAGTAGAAACTTTATTACA